CCCGCGGCGTCCATTCATTGCTTGGCTCTCCTCACCCGCGTTTGTGCGCTGACCCCAAAGCCGGGGGTCAAAGCCCGACGAGTGGGTCTCTGTCCTGGCGTTCGTGGTCCGCCGGGAGGTTTCCTATAATGGGCAAGAGGCAACGAGAGAATGAGGGAGGAGGGGGCAGCCCGGCGGGGCGAGGACGTCGGGTGGGGGGCCGACACTGGGTGGGGTTTGCCAGACAGACAGAAGCTAAGCACGGGCACGAAACTTTCTCTCTCTCTCTCTCTCTCTCTCTCCCTCCTTGTATGTCTGTCTCTGTCTCTCTCTGTCACTCTTCCCCCACCCCTCCTGGCCGCTCTCGCTTCCGTGTACTTGTTTTTTCTGTCTTTCCCGGTTTCTCCTCTCTCCCCATCTCTTTTCCCGTCTGTCTCACCCTCTGTCATCGCTGTCTGTCCTCCCTACGTCTGCTGTCTGACCTCTTTCTCTCCGTCTTCCTGTCACTCACTCTTTCTCCCTCCTCCCAACCCCGATTTACCTGTGTCTCTGTGCCCTGCCTCTTTCTTTCTCCTTGTTTATCTTGGTTTCCCTTCCTCCCTGTGTATCTCTCTTCCCTTCTCATCTCCCCTGTCCCCTCTTCCCCACCCCTGTCGGTCTCTGTCCCTCTCCCTCCTTGCAGATGAGGACGCCAGTGGCTCAGGAGGGGGGCAGCAGTATGCAGATGACTGGATGGCGGGGGCAGCAGCTGTGGCCCCCCCAGTCCGCCCTCCTCGGCCTCCGCACCCTCCTCGAAGGGATGGTTCTGGGGGCAAAGGAGGAGGTGGTGGTGCCCGCTACAACCAGGGCCGGAGCAGGAGTGGGCGGGCATCTGTTGGTTTTCACACCCAGCCCATCCTCATTCTCTTCCTCTCAGCCCTGGCCCTACTTGGACCTCGATGACAGGGGAGGGGCGCCCTAGCATGGGAAGGGTTCGCGGCCCTTTCCCCTCCTGCCCCCTCAGCTGGGTCTGGGGAGGAGACGAAGGGGGCTGCAGAGAGGGTGGAGAAGGGACTTGGCAGGTGGCTGGCTGGGGCCCCCATCCAGGAGATTCCCACTGGGGGACTGGGGCTGGGTGGGTCACAGTATTTATTTTTTCAGTTGGTAGCTGGAGGGGGGGCTGGGGGTATTTATTTAGGAGTTAGTGTTGTCTCCTTCGAGGATGTGGTCTCCAGCCCTCTAAGGCTGGGACTGGTTGGTGATCAGCCCCAACAAAGGAGAAAGGGGGAGTTTTAGAGTTGCAGTTGCGGGACGGGGTTTGAAGGAAATTGCGAGTGGGGAGGGGTGGACCTCTATGGGGTGGGCGCACCTGGTCTCAGGATGGACAAAGCTGGGTGCTGATAAGGGTCCAGGGCAGGGGACTGGGGAGGTGTGAGTAGGAGTGAGGCTCTCTGGGCCTGGCTTCCGTGGAGTTTTCTCAGCATCCATTTCTTAAACTAACATACCCCAAAAGGGGCTCATCTCGTGACCTCTGCCACCCACATCCTTTGCATACTCTGCATTTCATGTGTCAGTGTTTGTTCTGCAAATAAACGGTAATGTATTGAACCCTGTGTGTGGCTTTCTGTGCCTTCAAAATCAGTCCCTGAGCCCGGCCCCTGGCAGAGGTCCCAGGGCCTCCATGACTGGCTCAGTTTCCACCTGCTTCTCACCTCTCTTGGAACCTGTCCCTTGGGAGCAGGCCTAGGGAGTGACCCCTCGATCTCCACGTTGCCCTCCTGGGCATGGGCACCGTCTGTAGAATAGGGAGAACTGTGAGGAAGACCTTGTCACCTGCAAACACCTCTTTGGACTTGAGGCATGATCAATATTACCACAGTACTCCCCCTGCTTTCAGAGAGGAGGACCTAGTGTTCTGAGTGTCAGTATCCGGCTACCTTGCCTTGTCCTTGACAATGGCTGCTTTCAGCTCTTGACGATCACTTTCTTCATCTTTTCTTTCTGCCGCCTGAATCAACCTTTTGTTTCGCAGAAAGCCAAGAAAAGAAGGTTGGTCGAGCCCTAAGTGTGAAAGGCGGTAGAAGCGGTGCTTTCGGGGCGCCCTGGATGCCCTGATTGAGCGGGGAAGACGCAGGGAGGGAGCGGCCCAGAAGCGCAATCAAAGCTAAAGCAGCTGCTGGGGCTGGCGGGACAAAGAGAGGTGGGAGGAGCCTGGGTGCCGAGAAAGTTTGTGGGGAAAGTTGGGCTGAGTGCGGCGGGCGGTGGCTGGGGCCCGCGGGAGGGCCTGCCCGATCTCCCCGCTCCTCTCCTTGTGGCTTGGTGAGTGGCAAGTGAAGCCGAGGCCGGGCCCTTGGAAGGACCCTCGAACTTACGGGGGGAGACCCGAGGGGCACAGACTGGACCCCAGGAGGGATGACAAAGGGCTGGTGCCTGAGCAGCCACCAACGCCGGAGGGGAGGAAGGGCTGGGATCAGAGGTGACAGCAAGAGGGGCGAGATGGAAGGAAATGAACTCTGGATTGGGAAGTCGCGGCTGGATCCTGGGGACTGTGCTGTGGGAGGGAATTGGAGAGTGATGCCAGAGGGGGCGGGTCTCTGAGTAGTAAGTGTGGGTTCTCTCTGCCTGGGTCACCCCTGGCTCGTCTGCGAAGGGGACTGTCTGGGCTTGTTGGAGGGTCTGTGGCCCATGATTGTGAGCTGTAATCTGAAGGAGTGGGGCTGGACTCCCAGTTGACTAGGCAGCTTGGGCCTGGGAAGGAACTTCGGAGCTGTTTGTCTTCCTCTGTATCTCTGTGCCTCAGAGTTTCTCTCTCTCTCTCTCTCCAGCCCCACCCGTTCAGTCTCCTCCGGTGCACCGATGGGGTTGGAAAGCGGGACGGAGGTGCGCGTCGAGGGTTCTGGGCTTCATAAGTGACCCCACATCCCCCCCTCCCCTCTTGCACATGGGGTCTGCCCCCATGCTGAGAGAGGGGAAAGAGACGCCCAAGTTCAGGATGCAATGGCTCTTCCTCTTTGCAAAGCCACTCCTGTAGGTCTCATCTCCTTTCCCACTGCCTGGGTTCATGGGGCTGGGTCCTGTCGGATCTCGTTCCCTCCTTGTGGCTTCCCTTCCTAACCTCAGAAGGGGGCTCTCCCTTCCCATTTGCAGTGGGGAGGGGAGCTCTGGAGAAAGCTGGCAGTGATCTGACCTGATTGTCACAGTGAGGTGGTTGGTCTGATCTCTCTCTTTGGGCGTTTCATTCACGATCCGACCCAGCTCTGTGTCTTTCATCCCTTGCTAAATGTCCGAGGCTCAGGGAGAACTGTAGGTGGGGTCTGGGGGAGCAGCGGGAGTCTTGCGGGGCCGCCCAGAAGAGTCTAGGTGTAGGTGGCACCCCCAGCCCACCCCGCCTCTCTGAATCAGGTCTCAGCTGCGGCAGGAGAGAAGACTCCCTCTCCTTAGACTCCCCCTCTCCCCCCTCATTTCCCTTCTAGACGCTGACAGAGGCAAAAATCTGCTAGCTCAGGGGGCAGACTCAAGCAAAGCTGCGAGCAGGCCTGGGGAATGACCCCCCGATCTCCAGCCGGCGCCTTCCGCGGCTGCACAGCTCTCCCAAGCTGGCCCTGGCTCTGTCCCTTCCCTGCCACATGGGCCCTCTGTCTCCCATCAGGACGCTGCGGTTCTGGGGGCCTCGGAGCCTGGGGGTGGCTCTGGGCATCTTCATGACCATCGGATTTGCCCTCCAGCTCTGGGGGGGCCAGTTCCAGAGGAGGTGAGTTCCCAGCTTGTCCCAGCTCGCTCCAGATGCCCCCTTGGTCCTCCTCATCCCACCTGGGGCTGGGACTCTTGGGGACGCAGGAGGCTCCATGCCCTCCGTCCTTTCTCCACAAGCCCATCCCCTGCTGCCCAGGGACAGAACACTCCCCTGCCATCTCTTCCCAGGCTGCCCGGGCTGCAGCTCCGCCAGCCCTGGGCCCCGTCCCCGAGGCCAGCCGTCTCGTCCTGCCCACCGCGGCAGCGCCTGGTGTTCCTGAAGACGCATAAATCCGGGAGCAGCTCCGTGCTGAACCTGCTGCATCGCTACGGTGACCGGCACGGGCTGCGCTTCGCCCTCCCCGCCCGCTACCAGTTTGGCTACCCGAGGCTCTTTCAGGCCTCGTGGGTCAGAGGTTTCCGCCCTCGGGGTGGAGGCCCCCAGCTTCCCTTCCACATCCTCTGTCACCACATGAGGTTCAACCTGAAGGAGGTGAGGGGTGAAG